ACGACCTAACTATTGAGCCGCAAGCTCGCTGTCGTGCCGGTTTAGGTTGGGAGATGTTAACACTCGTTGATGAGCGTTCACTAATCGCTAACGAAAATCACTTGTTCCGCTCTTCCTTGGATCTTATTTCCCGGACCATAACAGCAACCGTAACGGCTAGGCTAGGAAGACCAGGACAAACCTGCAAGGTCTAAAAAACCTAACCCTCGCTGGAACCTGTTAACCACTTCCATACGACAGACTTGAGTAGCATCACGTATACCAGTGGGAGTCCGTGTTGAGTGGACGGCATGTTCATTTCCCTGACCGTTTTAACCATAATTTAAGGCATTAATCCTGCCTTCTGCGTCGATTACCGCCGCCTTCGGTCTTGCCGTGGGGTACTGTGACAGCCTGCTTCACTGACTCACGTTGGCTTTGTTGTCAAACCGCGCAAGCTTTGTCTAGTCGCGGTCACTTAACGCCCCCGCACTTGGCAACCACTGCGAGAGCCGCGATCTCTTCTCTGTCGCATGCTCTCCCCGTCTGGTCGCAGCTCAAGGCCCAACTTCCAGCCAATTGATGAACATCTGTCCAACTGGCTGGCTGCACGTCACACTAAGCCCATTCCACAGGCAAGGCGGAACACAATTTCGCGTACTGACTTGGCACGCACACGGAATTGGTTCTGGCGCATAACTCAGTCTTTGTACTGGCTATTTCCGGCGATAAACTTCTGTCCACCAACACCACCTTGCTTGCCTTGTGATTTGGGGTAACCTTCTGTTTGTCGACACCATAACTTGCAACAATTGGTGACTCCCTCCAAACACACCTTTCCTCCAAATCGACGATATAGTCAGGCTTTGACAATGGACAGCTTTCCTCCAGAAATTTAACGCATGTTAGCGCTTGCTGCCGACGCTCTCACTGCAACTGAATTCATTCTTCTGGACGAGAAACTGATGGCGGCGACGGCTTTGTCAAACTATCCCTGCCACTCTCCCAACTCCTGCTGTTCTTCCTAAATGTCCTTTCTCACAAATTAAGGCTGAGATTGCGCAACTCAAAGAACAGCTACTTACTAGTCAACAGCAATAAACCTCTCCATCCCGGCGTCCATCGAGGTCATCTATCCTGTATGTCCAGCCTGCTGCTTCAGCTCATCCCAGCTCAGCTACCACATACTGGTATCACTCCACCTTTCGTGCCAGAGCCCGTCACTGTACCTCTCTCTGCTCCTTCATCTCCGGCATGGTGAACTTCTATCGCCGGTTTCTCCCGAACTGTGCTGACACCGTTCTGCCGCTCACCAATCTTCTCTCTACTTCCAAACGTTCGCTGGAGCTATCCACAGACGCTCTCGCTACTTTTGACAAGGTGAAGGCCGCCCTGTCCGATGCCACACTCTTTATACACCACCCTCCCTATGCACGTCTCTCCCTCATGGTCAACGCCTCCAATATTGCAGTCGGCGTGGTTTTTCAATAGCACCTTGCACCTCAAAATAAACCCTTAGCTTTCTTTTCCATGAAGCTAACACCTGCCGAATCGCGCTACAGCACATTTGGACGGGAGCTTTTGGCCGTCTACCTTGCCGTGAAACACTTCCGGCACTTCCTCGAGGGCAGAGACTTCATCGTCTTCTCCGACCAAAAACCACTATTCTACGCCTTAAAGTCACAATCAGACAAGTTGAACCCACGGGAGCTTCGAAAACTGGACTACACCTCGCAGTTTACCTCAGACATCCGCCACATCGGTGGGCCACGCAATAAGTTGGCTGACACACTATTCAGACCACCAATCTCCCATCTAAAACTAACTCCCGGGATCGACCTCACTGCCATGACTACCGAACAATATCAGGTTAGTTCGTCCTGTGCCGAGGACGTTTCCAGACCCCAACTCCGGGAACTGCAACTGAAACTGGCAACGGTACCATCCTGTGTGACGTCTCCGCCGTCCATTCATGCCATCATCTCTTCGTCGCACAGTTTTCTCTTAGTCTTATCTCCAGAAAGACTTAGCGACATGTACTCATGGTTTGATCGAGTCCGATGGCCCTTGCAATCACCCTACGAGAGACAATTCCGTGTCATTTCGCGTGCGACGAACACATACCGCATGCAGTATGGTACTCGCAAGGAGGTCGTGAACATTGACCGGCTGAAAGCTGCTGTCCCGGACACTTCGCCCGACGACCCCACTAGTCTTCCGCCCCCTCTTTCCTCTCATCCCCAACCTGCTATTCCACCGTCCCGCATTTTATCACTTCTCTCCTGTCCGCTACCAAACCCCGTTCCTGCCACCGACTCTGACACTTCTGCCACTGCTCGCACAAACTCTTCTTCCACGCCCCCTGTGTATATCACCCAGAGTGGACGACGCATTCATTTCCCTGACCGTTTTGTTACCCATATTTTCTAGGCATCAATCCTCCCTTCGGCATCGGTTACCGCCGCCTCCGGTCTTGCCCGGGGGTACTGTGGCAGCCTGTCTCGCTGACTCACGTTGGCTTTGTTGCAAAACCGCGCAGGCTCTCTCTACTCGCGGCAACTAAATGCCCCCGCCCCACCTTAACGCCCCTCGATAAAACCATCCTAAACGCGAACAGTCGGCCAGAACATTATGCACAACAGAAGGTAGAGTCTTGTCGAAGGAGACAAGTTTAATGTCGTAATGTTGTAAGCAAACCAATAATTCTAAAGCAGGAAAAGTTACAGAATGATTCAGTAGGCGTTTTATAGGAAGTGCCCTGAACATGTGGTGCGACAAACAGTATCCACAGCCAAAACATGAATTCAACCGTTCAAAGGAGATCTTCGTGGACTCGAACAAGCTGCACACAGCGGAAAGAGCAACCTACGGGCGCACACACAGAGGGGCCACAAGTGGGTTTCCCCCTCTCTTTC